GGGTAAGAGATCCACTAAAGGACTTGTATGCATGGATATAAGCATAACCAATGGACATAAGACACTGGGGGGTAAGGGAGGCCAGGGGATTGTCAAGGGTGGGGAAAAAAAGGGACACATATGTAATACCCTTTGTAATACTGTAAGCAATAAAAAAATAAAAATAAATAAAAAAAATAAAAGTGGGTAGGGGAATTTTTTCAACTGGATGGAGTTGTTTATGGCATAGATTGTGGTAATGAGTATACTAACCTGAGTACAGTCAGGGTGCTTTCTGCTCCAGAAAAAGCTTAAAGAAGTCTTGAAAGTTGTGACAAGGTAGTGGGAAGGCAAGAAAGGAAGACAGTATGACACAAGAGGTTAGAGAGCTTTAGGATATGTTTAAGAGCCAATTAAAAGAGCACAGCATAATTTAGCTGGTGAAGTACCCTGCCTTCATCAATCTCTGCTTTATCCTTTCTGCTCTGCTTAGGAGGGATGGGCAAGAAGTAGATGGGAAGGAAGATAGGAGAGTTATTATAAACTAGAGGCCTAGTGCACGAAATTCGGGGTCCTCCAGCCTGGCCTTCAACGATGCAAGCGTTCTGTGCCCGACCTGGCCAGAGGCCCTCCGTGGCTGGGGTGGAACGCTTGCCTCGTCGCTTTGGTGACAAAGCAAGTATCCCGCCAGGCCACCCACACTGCCTGCTATCAGAAGCCATGCCCCTGGGACTGGAGGACTCTGGGAGGACTGAGAGGACTGGGCGCTGCCATCTTGTGGCTGTGGGTGCTACCATTTTGTGACAGAGTGATGGTTAATTTGCATATTACCCTTTTATTAGCTAGGATAAGTTTTGGTCCTAATCAGAAATCAGTGCCTTTGCATTTTGCTTTGGTAATCTATTTGTTGTGCTCTTATTTTCCATGTCCCCAGCACTGCTAAGTAGACGTAAATAATTTCCTCTTGTAATTACTCATAAAAATCAGTATCTTAAAAATATTAAGTGAAGAGAAGAAACACAATGTTCTTTATTAAACTCATGGAATTTTTAAGTGTCCAACACAAGGAGCAGGTTTCTCAGTGAAATACATTTCTCTTGTATCAAACTCTTTGAGGCATAAAACCTCCTTTATGACTTAAAAACAAAGAGTGTATCGGTGAGATATTGTAGACTAACTTGAGAATTGAAGTTTTCTCCAGGACATATGGGAAATTTTGTAAAAACCTGGGGGATCAGTAAGAGCTGCAAGGACATGGGCTATCTAGTTCCAACATCTATTCCTTAGATAGGGAAACTGAAAATAAAAGATGGGTAATTATTTACTGAAGGGCACACAATTGATTTCTGCCTACCGGCCTAGGTAGGGGTCTTGCTAATACTCACCTAAGCATGCTTGCTTTAGCCAGCCTGCTCTGAGCAATATCTAGTGTTGTTGTGCTGATCATTTGTGAGGTGTCACATATTCATCCAGTTTAACAATTATCCAGGATTGGAGGTACTTACCAGTTGGCAACTTACAACTCTAAGAGCATGATAGGGATTGAATCCAATATAAGCAAGATTTATACAAGTTACCTAGAAACAGCTCAACAAATATAGGTCACAAATAATTCTAAATTTTTGCTTGTGGGTCACATTTCTATATAGTAGGCTACTATCTAGGCCAGAGGTGGGGAGCGTCTGGCCTGGGGGCAAAAAAGACCCAAGAAATCATTATCTGGCCCTGCCAAGGCATTAGGAGTGAGTTAGTTAAATGTTTGACCAAATACATCAGGCTAATTTTTTTAAAATAAATCTTTATTGTTCAGATTATTATAGTTGTTCCTCTTCCTCCCCCCCCAATAGCTCCCCTCCACCCAGTTCCAACCCCACCCTCTGCCCTTACCCATCCCACTGTCCTCATCCATAGGTGTACGATTTTTGTCCAGTCTCTTCCTGCACCACCCAAACCTCTTTCCCCCCCGAGAATTGTCAGTCCACTCCCTTTCTATGCTCCTGATTCTATTATATTCACCAGTTTACTCTGTTCATCAGATTTTTTATTCACTTGATTTTTAGATTCACTTGTTGATAGATATGTATTTGTTGTTCATAATTTTTACCTTTACCTTTTTCTTCTTCCTCTTCTTAAAGAATACCTTTCAGCATTTCATATAATGCTGTTTTGGTGGTGATGAACTCCTTTAGCTTTTTCTTCTCTGTGAAGTTCTTTATCTGACCTTCAATTCTGAATGATGGCTTTGCTGGATAAAGTAATCTTGTTTGTAGGTTCTTGGCATTCATCATTTTGAATATTTCTTGCCACTCCCTTCTGGCCTGCATAGTTTCTGTTGAGAAATCAGCTGATAGTTGTATCGGTACTCCCTTGTAGGTAACTAACTGTTTTTCTCTTGCTGCTTTTAAGATTCTCTCTTTGTCTTTTGCCCTTGGCATTTTAATTATGATGTGTCTTGGTGTGGTCCTCTTTGGATTCCTTTTGTTTGGGGTTCTCTTCACTTCCTGGACTTGTAACTCTATTTCTTTCACCAGATAGGGGGAGTTTTCTGTCATTATTTCTTCAAATAGATTTTCAATATCTTGCTCTCTCTCTTCTTCTGGCATCCCTATAATTCGGATGTTGGGACGTTTGAAGTTGTCCCAGAGGCTCCTTACACTATCTTGATATTTTTGGATTCTTTTTTCTTTTTGCTTTTCCGGTTGGGTGTTTTTTAATTCTTTGTATTTCAAATCTTTGACTTGATTCTTGGGATCCTCTTGTCTGCTGTTGGATCTCTGTATATTATTCTTTATTTCAGTCAGTGTATGCTTAATTTCTAGTTGGTCCTTTTTCATAAGCTCGAGGGTCTAACTAAATTTATCAGTGGTTTCTAGAAAATTCTTGAAAAACCTTATAACCATGGTTTTGAACTCTATATCCAGTAGTTTGCTTTCCTCCATTTCTGTCATTTGTGACCTGTTTCTTTGTCTCCGCATTTTTTATGCTTCCCTGTGTTGATAGAGTGGCTTTCTGTGCTAGGTGTCCTATAGGGCCCAGTGCCTCAGCCTCCCCAATTATCTGAGGTGGACACTCTTGGTGCACCCCTTTGTGGGCTTTGTGCACAGTCTTGTTGTAGTTAATCCTTGATTGTTGTAGGTATCACTGGGAGGAATTGACCTCCAGGCCAATTGTCTGTGAGAATCAGGTGTGTCTACAGTGGGAGAACTTCTGTGCTGGAGACACCCTTCTGGGGCAAGACTTGCTTCAGTGGGGCTTTGGTGCTCCCTGAGTCTGCCCCCTGAGTGTGTCCCTTATGGCTCTGAGGAGTTGTAATCTGGATGGTCCCAATCTGACCACTGGCTCTTGGATCTCTAAGGAGGTGCTAATTTAGCCTCTGCCTGAGGCTGCCCAGCAGGAGCTATGGAGAGATATGCAGGTTCCTCTTCTTTGTTTGGGTTTTGGAGGTGCCCAGATGAGGCCCAGCTGTGAAGCAATGCAAACTGCTTTGGGGCCTTGGGCCTTCTTTTGGATGTTCTGGGTCTTTCTGACCCAGCTGTAGTTTCTTAGGTAATTTTAGATCTCAAAGGGCCAGCCCATTCATATGCAGAAGCCTCTGTGCACAGCTTGGGTGGGGCGGGGTCTCAGGGAATCAACAGGGCGGAGCAAACAGCTATGGCTGATCCTCAGTCCTTCCCTAAGAGGTCCCAGCTCTCAGTGTCCTGGTAATCGCTACAAGCACCTCTGAAAGAAAGCCGCCCTTGAGTTCCTACCAATGCCAGACAGTCCAGTTTCTTCCTGTATGAGTCTGGGTCCCCAGAGAATCGCCCGGAACTGGAGTCAGGGCCATAGGGAGCTTGTGCCTCCCTCCTGATTGCAAAAGACACCAGCGTCCTCCATTGCCAGCCCCTTTCTGCACACTCGAGCCTCCGTACCTCTGCACTTTACTTCCACACCTCCTCTGAGTCTCAGTGTGCTTTTCTCTTTCCTTCTAGTTGTAGAATTTCCACTCAGCCAGCCTTCCTGTGGTTCTGGATGATGTCCGTTTTGTCTTTTAGTTGTATTTTTGAAGTGGTTGTGTGAGGCAGCAATTTCAGGTGTTTACCTATGCCGCCATCTTGGTTTCTCCAGCAGGCTAATTTTTAAATTAATAATTTTGTATGGACTGCAAATGATATATAAATATCCAAATAGCTCTTGGCATAAAAAAAGGTTCCCACCCCTGATCTAGGTCAAGGAAAGATGAGGTTCAAAAATTTTGAAAGAAATTGGAAAGGAAACCTTGGAATTGATTATTTGAACATAGTAAAGTAGGTATATGAGTATAGGGCATGACAAATAGTACCCATCCAGTTTTCCGTTGAGGAATCCATGCACAGTCTCTCGCATATGTTGTTTCTGTTAAGACCATGAGCTCTTCAGACTTGGCCTCTGAGGTTTTTGATGTCTTTCATCACCTTTGCATTTTTCTGACCAGTTGCTCTGTGTGTGTGTATGTGTGTGCACGCACGTGCATCTGTTCTCCAAGAATCATCTCCTTTAGCAAAGCTGTAGTAGTTGCTGTGAGCAGCAGAGATATCTTTTATGCCTGTTCATTATCAGAATAATCTTTCTACACATCTCTCCTCTCCAGTGAAAATTTTAAATTGGTTAACTTACATGATAGCCTACTGAGGAGAATTACTTTAGAAATTCTTAAAATGCTATCAGAGTAAATGAATCAGAACCTGCTGTTTTAAGGTTTCTTTGGATGGGGATAGTAGTTAAGGGAGCTCAGCTAGGGCATAAGTTATATTTGTTTTACTAAAGGTAGTAAGGTGAAATTCAGATCTGATAAAAATTCTAAGTACTGAATGGTGCTTTGAGAGGCTAACTGCTTCATTTACTCCATCCTTTGTGTTATAAAGATGTGGACCTCCATGAACCTAAACCAAAAAAATCCAGTTATTCTGAGGAGCACTTTGTTGATAATAATGGGAACTCAGCTTTATGTTTAATATCATTCAGTTTAGCTTAACTTCATTTTCTGTTCTCCTTACTTTTAGGTTAACAATTCATGCTGAGTGTCCCATGCATTTGGAAGATTTTCCCATGGATGTGCATGCCTGCCCACTGAAGTTTGGAAGCTGTACGTATTTTCTCACTTTCTGTTTGCCTGAGCTTTTTAAAAAAAGAAATTGAATATTTACTCTTCTGTCCCCCTAGTAATTTCTAAAGTTGAGGCCTTTAATCCAGGTTGGTATGAAAACAGGGAAGGGAAAGTGGGATTGAGTAGTATTAACTGATCAGGAGGAGACAGACTTTTAATAGAATTTTCAAGCAAACCTTATTTAGACTAATTTCATGTCATTAGATTGAAATATTAACATCTGTTTCTTAAATTGTCCAGAAGACAGAGCTGCTACAGATTCCTCAAATAGAATGTTGTTATTTTTTTTGAAATGTCTATTCTACCTGCACCCTCATATACTTCTATCCAATTCTCTACAGTAAATGGTAAACAGGAAGAAACTCTGGGTATTTTCTCATTTTTACAGTATTGCCCTTGCTGGTAGCTGTAAATCTTACAGAAAAATTAGTAGATACACAACCCATTTTAAAATGAATTAGAGAAATAAAAATTGAAAAGAATTTGAGTGAGTTTCTTACTCTCAATTTCAGAGTTTTATGTGAGTCATCAAAGCAATATATCAACGTCTATGTTGATCATGTCTAAATTAGATTTAGCTCTGTATTTTGAAATAGACAGAGCATTTGAAAAGACCCAAATAATTATGTTTGACATATTTTTCAATCATTGTCAAATATTTATAGATTGTGTTCCAAGCTCTATTCTAGGAACTTGGAATGCATCCATGAATAAAACAAAAACCCAGCCCTTGTGCAGCTTATATTATAGAGGAGAGTGATGATGAGAGATAAAATAAACAATGGATAAAAAAGTAAAGTATGAAGTATGTTGTAAACTGAGAAGCACAATTGAAGACATGAAATTACTACAGTATAATGGAGATAAGTCATGTATAGGTGGAGGATACATGTTGCCATTGAAATTTTAAAATAGGGTTATCAGCATATGCCTCTTTGAAAAGGTGACTTGAGTAGAAATTTTAAGAAGGAAAAAGTGTTAACAACACAGCTATCTGAGGCAGTTGTGCTCCAGGTGGAGAGAACATTCAGGGAGGGGCAAGACCCTTATCATAAAGGTGAATGATTTGTTGTGAGAGCATCAAAGTGGCCAGTGTGGCTGGAGAGAGTGAGTAAGGGAGAAAGCACTAGGAGAAGATGAAATCAAAGAGCAGGCCAGGTCATCCAGAGTCCTGTAGGACATTAAAGGGCTTTGAATTTTATTTTGAGGGAAAATGGGGAATGATTGGAATATTTTGAACAAAATAATTATCTGGCTTATGTTTTTAAAAAAATCATTATGGCCCTGACCGGTTTGGCTCAGTGGATAGAGCATCGGCCTGCGGACTCAAGGGTCCCAGGTTCGATTCTGGCCGGGGGCATGTGCCTTGGTTGCGGGCACATCCCCAGTGGGGAGTGTGCAGGAGGCAGCTGACTGATGTTTCTCTCTCATCGATTTTTCTGACTCTCTATCCCTCTCCCTTCCTCTCTGTAAAAAATCAATAAAATATATTTAAAAAATCATTATGGATGCTCTCTAAAAATGTAAGTATGGGAAGGAGAGAAGCAGGGCATCTGGTTATAGGTTATTAATATTTCAGATGAGAGCTGATAATGGCTCAGATCAGAGTGATAGTGGCAAAAGTAGTGACAAGTAACTTTTCTTTTTTTAAAATGTCTTTATTGATTAAGGTATTACATATGTGTCCTTATCCCCCCATTAACCCCCCCAATCCCCCCACTCATGCCCTCACCCCCTGTTGTCTGTGTCCATTGGTTAGGCTTATATGCATGCATACATGTCCTTTGGTTGCTCTCTCCCCCTTAACCCCCACCCTCCCCTACCTTCCCTCTGAGGTTTGATGGTCTGATAGATGCTTCTCTGTCTCTGGATCTGTTTTTGTTCATCAGTTTATGTTGTTCATTATATTCCATAAATGAGTGAGATCATGTGATATTTATCTTTCTCTGACTGGCTTATTTCACTTGACAAGTAACTTGGTTCACTTTTTTAAATAAATAAGAGAGTATGTTTAAAAGTATAGCAAAGACCAGTAATTTAAAAGATATTCAAACACTGAAAAAACTGAAAAACACCAGCTAATCTTCATGTGTTTGGATCTCTTAGGAAGGTAAATAGCACTATACCAATTCAAAGGTCAAAATTGCCAGTTTGAGGTTTATTTTGATTCTCAAACTTCTTATTTCCTGAAAGATCAATCACAGGGTTTATATATTATACACTATGCATATAGGCTTATTAATATATAATTTGTAAGAATAGCTCAACATTAGCATCATACAGGGCCACAAATGCACACTGATAATAAGCAAAATCAACTGATCAGATCAATATGTACTTCTGCACTGATATCTGGAAATTTCAAAATTTTCAACTCAATGTGCCATCATTTCCTGCTTTTGCTCTTTATTTGACATTAGTAGATCCCTTCAAATCAGTAATGTCTCTATGTCTATTATTAAGATTTAATCCTTATAGTAAAATTGTAATGCATTTTCCATTTTGCTGATTTATCACGTACTTTTCTCAGTATTTGGTATTCAGGAAAATATATAAATTTCCTGGTAAATTCCAGGAAAGAATTTCCACATAGAAGCAATAGTCAGGATACTGGTTACCCCTTGGTGGGGGTTGTACTTGATAAGGGACACCAAAAAGTACTTCTGGATACTGATGATATAGGATGTAAGTGTGATGTTTGGAACAGATATCTGACTAGAGACTTAATTAAAGTGTCATCCATATAGGTGATATTTAAAGCCATAGCCTGGAGGTCACTAGGGAATACTGTATATAGATAAGAATATCAAGGACTTTTCCAGAGTCACTAATATTTAGAGGCTACAGAGAAGAGAATAACTCAGTATATTGAAGGACAGGACAGGTGAATTATGAGAAAACTTATGAGAACATGTTGCCCTGGAAGACAAAGTACATCAAGAAGGAGAGAGTGATTTAAATTCTTAAAGTGTGCAGAAAAACTTAAATTCTTAAATTTAAAAACTTAAATTCTTAAAACTTAAAAACTTAAATTCTTAAGTTTATTAATCTTAAATAAACTCTAATGAGAAAGCCATTCTGGAATGGTGGAGTAAGAACTTCTGAAAATACATTCCTCCATAAATTGCCAAAATAAATTTTCTCCAAACTCTAACCAAAGGCTTACAACAATCTGAGAAGTACTTTAAAAAACCAAAAGAAACCAAAGCAAACCAAACCAAACCAAACTAAACCAACCAAACAAAAAACACCTGATTCTCAGTAAGACCAGGGAACCCTATTCTCATCTTCTTTCCCACTCTCCAGATGCCTTGCGGATTTTTTAATGATAAAAGGGTCAATTCATCAGGAAGATATAACTATTATAAAGATATATTATATATATATAATCTAATAATAAACAAACATGGTAATTGACCGTACCTTTGCTATGCTTCCCATTGGCTAATCAGGGTGATATGCAAATTAACTGCCAACTAAGATGGCGGCTAATTTGCATACTGCAGGCAGGGTAGGACAGTGCAAGCCACCATCCAGGCCCCCATGCATGACCGGGGGTTGGGCGGGGGCTGGGGCAAAGGCAAGCGGTGCCAATCTCCTCACTGGAGCCCTTGCCCACCAACCGGAGACAGGGGGCCCACTCCTGTGTGTGATCCAGGGGCGGGCGGGGGCTGGGGCCAAGGCAAGCTGTGCTGATCACCTTGCCTGAGCCCTCACCCACCCACTGGAGACAGGGGGCCCACTCCTGTGTGCGACCCGGGGGGCGGGCGAGGGATCGGCAGCATCGCTTGCCTTAGCATGAGCCCCGCCCACCCACCAGGAGCCAGCCAGCCTAGGGCCAGGAAGGCGGGATGTGACCCTGGAGTGCTGGAGTCACCCGGGCTCTCCCCACCCTCTGTGCTTCATGAATCGCAAGTTTCCGCGGAGGAGGCAGCTGCAGGATGCAGAGTGGGAGACAGGGGAGTGGGCCAAGCGTGGCTCAGGCTCGGGCTTGACGGAGGGCACCCGAGCAGAGGAGATCTCCCCAGCGGGCAGCGGCTCCCCCTGCCACCAGGGAGATCTCCTCTGTGCTGGTGCCCTCTGTCGAGCCCGAGCTGCACTCGGCCTGCTCCCCTGTCTCTCACTCTGCGTCCTGCAGCTGCTGCCTCTGCAGAAACTTGCGATTCATGAAGCGCAGGCGGTGGAGAGGAAGAGGCACCTAAGAAGTCCCCAGCCGCAGGCGCTGGGAGCTGGAAACTTTGTGCCAGGGTGTTTCCAGTGGGGCCGGTGGCAGAGGGGAGCTGGGACTCTGGCCACCACCGCCGCCTCTCAGCTGGCTCCAGGCACTTGGTGCACTGGCCACTGCTGCTGCTTTGGCTGCTGGAAGCTCCGCTGCTGCTTGGGGTCCAGGTGCAGGAGGCTGGCCAGGGGCCTGGGCCAGGTCAGCAGTCCCCGCCGCAGCCACCTCAGCAGCAACAGAGCAGGCAGCAATACAATGGTGAGTGGGACCTGAGCCCCGCCCACCCGCCGGGGACACAGGGCCCTCTGAGAGAGAGAGAGAGAGAGAGAGAGAGAGAGAGAGAGAGAGAGAGAAAGAGAGAAGAGAGAGAGAGGCGGAATTTGGCTCCCCACATCCCTCCCTGATCAACCACTGTGATTCCAAGCCAGTGAGGGCTGCCTTCAGGCCGCAGCTCCAGGTCCCTCATCCCCACCCCAGGACCAAGAGCACAGTGCTGGGCAGGGGCACCCAGGGGTTCGGGAATGCAGCGCGAGGGGCCAGCACGATGTGGGGGGGCTGTGTTTACACCTCCAAGTTCCCCACTTCTGCTCTGGCCCGCACATCCCTCCTCCTTCCCCTCAGAGGCCCAGCTCCTGCCTACATGCTTGCTGGGCAGGCCCAACTGCACCGGGAAGTGAGCCATGGTGACCGGGATGGCCACTTACTGGGATGGGACAGCCAGACCACAGCAATTCATGAGGACTATGAGGCCCGTGGGGCA